TACCCTTGACTGGCCTCCAGGTAACTATATCCCTTGACAATTTTCAGCGCTTCACCTAATGTGAACTGTTCTAGATATGACATCTTCTCATCTTCTGTTTCTGAGTTGACAACAATCTTCACCTTGAACTGACGCTTGAATCTTTGATATTCAATAGGATCCCCAGAGAACTTCATGATTTCAGGAGGCGGCTGTCGGAGCTGTTGCACAACACACTGAATAAGATTCTCACCGCTTGCTGCAGTATCTTGTGGAGACAAGTGTTGATTGAAGTCTTCTTGAAGAGGTAAGTTTATGTTATCAGGTAAGTACCGTTTACGTTCAGTGTTGAAATGTTCATTTACATCTTCATTCACAGGAACAGGGACATATGGATCGTGCGGTTGTAGTGAACGTTCTGATTTCACACTACCTCTGTCAGAGAAATAATCTTGAAGCACTTTAGACTTTGCTTGAGAAATCTCCATTTCTGTTTTCAGTTCTAACTCTTCTTCCTTCATTTTCAATTTCATCTTTGCTAAGTCTATTTTCTGTTTCTCTTTCAATGCTTTCATCTTTGTCTCTAATTCAACTTGCTTTTGTTTTTCTTTCAGATGGGCTGATGAAACACGACTTGTTAGTGATGAATGACTTCCTTTAGAGGAGGCTGATTCTTCTTTAAATATACAAGCACTTTTCAGGCTGACTGAACCTTGTCTACTTATATCTTTCTTATCAGTTTGTTCAACTTCTGGTTTCTGTTCATCTTCACTTTTGTCATTCAGTGAATCTTTAACATTCTTTTTCTCTGTTTCACTTGGTTCACGGATGTGTTTGAGAAAGAATGCTTCTAACTTTGATTTACATGTCAGCAGAAAAGATTCTTGTGATTCACATTCTTCAATAAAAGGACTAAGTTCAATTTCATCCAACAGTGATGCAAAGTCTTTGCGGAGATCTAACAGTGTTTCGTAGAATTTCAACCAGCTTCCATGACTACATCTAATCTCCTCTATCTCTTCAGAAGTGAAAGTTTCAACATGAGATTGGGCATAAAGTTCATCAAAATCATCCAACAATTGTTTATATAAACTCTTAATTTTCTTATAATTAGTTTGCTTAGCATACTGCAAACCCTTTTCTGTCATCTTCCTTAGTCTTTGTTTCAAAACATTATCCTTTTCTTTTCCTTCCATACCTTTGTCTAAACAATGTCAATGCTGTAATAACTTGAAGTCTTTCTTTCTCAAATGATGATTTCTTTATTCTTTCCTGTTTTGCATTCTTTCTTTTCTTTACATTCTTTTCGTTTCCATTTAGATAAATGTCTTTCTTTTCTTAACTAGAATCTCATTATTTTCAGATTGACTGAAATACAAATAAATAAACAATAATTACTATTTTGATCAAATGATGCATTAATGCAAATAATCATAATGACATTATAAATGAATTAACCTTATAAAATTGACTACCTTTCAGTGACATGAAATACTATGCAAAATGTAAACAAACGATGAAAAACACTTTATGACTAAATAACTGCTCTAAAACATTTATACACATGTAGATAATTATAAAATAATATATATGACAAAATTTGGCAAACTCACCATTGTTTTAAGACTCTTTTATCCTTAAAACCTTTTCTCATTTCTTTCATTCTCACATGCATGCTGCATGCTTTTAGGGCCACATGGAAGATAATACACGATACTAAGCAGTTTGCCCCTTGGCATATTATGATGAGTAAACATAAATTTGAATGGAGAAGAAATGAAATATGAATTAATACTTGCCAAAAACGAAATATGATTTATATTTTAATACTTTGATAACAAACAAAGTAAATATGATTCTGAACTTTGAAAATAATAACTTAACAATTTTGACACTTACATTAATAAAACTCAAAAGTGTACATCTATACAGCTTGTGCTCCACGACGAATTTTCCTATAACAAAATGGCATTGTACTATTTGCCTTATGGCCACATATACGAAATAAACCTGTCTGTCAAAAAAGATGCTAAAGTACTGTCGGAAATGTTAGAAAATTGCTTTTTGCACCTTAAATAAGGATATATATTTTTCAGACTGTTGCTATTGAAAAAGCAAGTACCGTTAGCTACCGATCTACCTACCTGTAGTTTGAAATATTCCAGTAACAAGGAGTCCTTTCCACAATTTTACAGGAGAATAATTCGAACGAAAACAGCAAATTCAGTTTGATTAAGGAAGTCTGACTATAGATATATGCACATGTGACCCAAGTATCACAAGGGTTGGACATTAATGAAAAATGTTACTTGACCAACGGCAAGTATGACGAACATTCATACTTGCCCTATGTTAAAACGTACCTACCCCAAATCAAGCTAATAAATTCAGTAAAATGTTACACCTAAAGAACTGAGACTCAGTGGTACACCTGTTCGCCGTGGATTTTGGGTAATAAAAGAGTAAACTGACCTATTTATCTTATTTATGTACTCTACATCTCAGTATTGGGACGTTTCTATTACACAAATCTGAAATTTGAACATCCATCAATAAAACCTCTCTCTCAATTGCAAGCTTTATGTTTGGGTACTTTGAACAGATGGTGCACTTCATGACTTCGGACGTGTCTTTTCCCCATCGCCAAAAAACATTACCAGCTTATCACTGCGAGCAGGCAACACGGGATATACAAATCCAAGAAATCCAAACTGAAGTCGGAAATTTAGTCCGTGTATCACACTTTAAAAACAAGTTCGTTTCATATCTGGACTAAGGTTTGTAGCATATCTTATTAAATTTATTCATAATCACATTCAATATTGTTTCGATTCGGCGACATGTTGTAGATCGCACAACTGGTCACTGTCTTTTACAGCAACCACGGTTAGATTATAGGTATTGACACCATTAAACGAACTTTAGTTGACAGGGAATAGATACATAATTCACTAATATCATACTTAGACGAGTTAAAAGTCATATTTGTTGCAGTTTGGCTGTTATGTGTCAAGTAAGTTTTCGCGAGCGTGTGAGCCTCGACGGTGTATTCAAATAATATATTTCATCAAAGCTAGGCCTAATGAAGCTTTTAGGCGGCACCAGATCTGATTCGTGTTACAAATTCCAAGAAACTTAGTCCACTATCTGCCATTCCATTTCCATGAAGGATGTGCCATATATGGAAGTGTTACTTCGATTTATCATCCAAACAAGGCTGGTACTCGTTGTTGATCAGCCTGACCTCGACGTGTATTAATCACATTGGTTGACTGGTGTAGATGTATACAAGTTCACTTAGTGTGCTCTACTTGATGATTACTCATTGCCACGATGATGCAGCTTGCATTGCACAACAACTGTAGACGACATTGAGTGTGTAGAAGGAAATGTATAAAAGTTCATTACAATTGAGAGAGAAACCATCTGTTAGTTTAGATAGGGTTTATTACCAAAGTACCCTGTCTCTGTGGCTTTCATACCAACAAGTCTATTGGGAGATCATCACCTCGGGACAGGTATTCGGTAATTACTTCAGGCTATTGGTCGTATCATACATGCATGGCAACAAACACATATGTTCTAAGTTTATCATCATTTGGCAGTGTGGGCTAGGAAAGGCTAGGTTACGTACATTGGTATTATTTTGATATATGCAATATAGCACTATGATTCGTAGTTATGAAATGAAGTGAGAAAAGTATTTTACAAGCATTTCCGACAGAAATGTAGTCCTAAGGGCTAGTGCAGCTGCAACATTCACTAGCCCTGGTGAAAAATCACCTGCTCTGGTGACAATTCACTGTCTCGGGAACTCAAAACGCAAAAAAGGCAAAGAATTTCACATTACAAACCCTTCTCATATTTTTCTTGTTTCACTGTCGAAATCCCACCCAACAATTTGCAAAAACATCTAAGTAATCAGTGAGCTGTGAGTGTGGCTCGCCCGACCAGGCAGGTTTGCCATCGATAAATTAATTAGCATCTTTTAGTTTGCTATTTCAGCTGTTGTTGGCTATCAAAAGAAAATCAGTAGTAGTTTAGTTTAATGTACATGTTAAGTATTCAAACACTTCAACTCGATTGAAAATTTTATCAGTCTCAATAGACAAGTCTGGCATAGATACTGCAGATATTTTCCAAATACAATATCAGATACGCCTTTTTCGGTTTCCTCTGCATGTACTGTTCAGGAACAGTGTACCATGGTACCATCTTAAACATTATATAATAAAATGTATTTATCGCCAAAATGTCTCACAAATCAGTTGTTGCATATCATTCAACATCGACCAATTCACCAATTCCCTTCCTCTGATTTACCCACCTGAACTGGAAATGATAGAAAAATGGTTTATCCTATATCGCACTCTGCATTTCTTCTTTAGATCTAGACCCGTGAAGATACGGGGTAGAATAGGTTGGTTTGTTGTTTTACACCACACTCAGCAATATTCCAGCTTTATGACGGCGGTCTGTAAATCATCAAGTCTGGACCAGACAGTCCAGTGATTGATATCATGAACATCGATCCATGCAACTGGGATAGATGACATGCTTCAACCAAGTAAGGGAGCCTGGCCACCCGATCCCGTTAGTCGCCTCTTACGGCAAGCATGGGTTGCTGTTCAATGCCAAGCCTGTAGTCGTGCCAGCGACTGAATCTTGGATGTTGTGAAATCATTAAAATGGATTTTCCCAAAACGTGCGGAAAACATATTTTGCACGAGGTTTACAAGGATGTATGTGTTTCCACGTTTATAACTCTGTTATTGTTCAATGAATTTTACAGTCACTTATTGTGGGTTATTGGGGGCATATGTTGTATTTTACTATTACCTAATTCAATAACTTGGCATTTGTGTTAAATTAAACATTATTTTAAAAATAATATTCTTGTTGCTAAACTTTGAGGAGAATACATAGTTTTAGATTTATGAATCGGAGGAAATGTTTGACATGTGTTTTATCATATATAGACATGATTAATTTACAAAAATACATTCATTTTCTATTTATAGAAACCAGGCGCAAGGAAAGGGTATGTGTTCATAAAAAAATCCATGCCAATGCTTAAAATGCCTGATGCCTTCTGTCCTGAAAGTTCGAATTCTTATCGTTTTTCTTAAACTTTTGCGCAAACATTTTTAGGCACAAACAGATTATGTATTACCATACCTGACGCTAGTGCTTGAGCTTCACTACCTTGTAGAAACAGACAGTACTGGAACGAAGAGACAGTTGAAACATATTACAGCTAGTGCCTCGGCATCTACGAGTTCCCCCCCTTGGCCCCTACTCCTTCATATTCTCTGTCTGCCTCATGGATAGACGTATTATTGGACCTCAACCTACCTTGTATCGTCATCAGTCTTTGACTTCAGGTGGTGGTGTTACCTCCATATATATTTCCCTGCTTTATATATCCGCTTGTTTGCAGTTTATAGCTTGGTATGTCGTTTTTGTTCATGTAAACTGTAAAGCACAACCTAAACCGTCATCGAAAACCTATGTACATTGCATTTAGAAGGGACCGGTCATTTTGGTTTGTTGTTTAACGCAACATTCAGCAATATTTCAGCTATATGACGGCGGTCTGTAAATAATCGAGTCTGGACCAGACAATCCAGTGCTTGATATCATGGACATCGATCCACGCAATGGGAATCGATGACATGCATCAACCAAGTCAGCGAGCCTGACCACCCGATCCCGTTAGTCGCGTCTTACGACAAGCATAGTCACCTTTTACGGCAAACATTGGTTGCTGAAGACCCATTCTACCCCGGAATCTTCACGGAACGACCGGCCATGTATTACCTACAATGATTATCTATTTCAAACCTTTCCTTTAGTAGAATGGGATGGAATGGGAAACTACTGGAAATAAACTATCATGCATGTCCTTAAATATACATGTACACATTACCTAGGTGTAAATACATTTCTAAAGTCGTATTTATAACACAATTTGACAGAAGAAGTTGTTTGTCATGGACTGGCAATACAAGTATATTTTGAGCAATGGTCTAAGAGTATATGACAGCCAAGTGCGAAATTCTAGCTGAGACGAGGATGTATGTTTTCTAGTGGTCATAGTGAAACAAATTTGTTCAGAGTTTTGAGCACATGAACTTTATATACATTGAATACTACTATAATCGAGGTAATTCATATTTTCGTAATTGTCTCTTTCACTTAATCTAGATAATATTTATAACTGTGCAGTAAAACAATAACATTGCAATTGCCTTCTTTCACCTGCACTGTGCAAGTTATCGTTTCCTTGTATTAAATATATAGCCAACTCTGCTCTTCTTGAGCTTTCAAATTCAAGTATTTAAATTGTCCAATTACATCTCGTTTCAATATTTTGATAAGTTAGATTTAAACCATCAACACATCATGACACCCTTACTATCAATGATCAGTCTGTGTGATTGCACAACGAAGCAATGACATATGGCGCCCGAATTGCAAGTGATCGAAAGTAGGTTTGTTGAATAGATTTGCTGTCCATGAAAACGTTTCAACGATTTTGATTGAAACTACATACTCTTGGGTGGCATTACGTTAGTATAATCTTGTCAACTATTAAGAAATTATAATGTTGTCCGATATTAAGCGATGTCAATTTGAGTATTGTTAGGGTGTTAAGCGATATTTCACATTTTGCGCGGTAACCACTTTGCTGAAAATGTACGATGTCAATGACCCCGAAATTGTTTTTATCACTAATAAAACCGCACGGTCACTGAAACCTACATCGATATTACCGGAATTTATTCAAGATATACATTCCAAACGGTCATTCGTATTGTAACATAATCTTTGAAACAGTCGTATGAACTTATGACGACCACTTCCGTCAATCATGTTTTGACGTCATTGCGATTTTGTATCGGTAAATATAACTCAGTGAATGTGTACTTCAACATAAATGTCATATGTATCACTGTTAGGTTATGAACGTGCCTATGACATGAATTATTGGACATTAAGATTTCAAACAAGGGCGCTTACTTGACTTTGCTTGCCATTTCCGGGTGCTTCCTTAGTACCATTAATATAAAAAAAGTAGGAAACGTATAATACCAGCAATTTTATCGATGGCTTGGCAGTGCATAGATCTTTTGTATTTGGCGACTTTATTTTCTGATGGAAAGACAATCAAGTCGAGTTGCATGTTTATACAATTTGGTTACACTTATTTCAAGAAATAAGAACGTTGTAACACTTTTGATTCAATGTATATGTATTTGAAACCGCGACGTCATCACAATGCGGTATGCAGGTTTACAGACGTCCAGGAACCATGAGGGTTAAGTAAATAATGAATAATAAAAGTCAGTCCCAAAAAGCCAAGGATAGGTAAATTTAAGAAAAGGAAATAGTAAAGAGGTTCGATTGGAATAGAATACTTAGAGGCAGTGAAGAGCTCTTGAGAGGCCTAGTCTGTAACATAAAAATATTATATTAATAAGTATGTTAAGAACACTATCCCGTGATTTTATTTGGGACGTGTATTATTTTTTTAAAAGGCAGGGGTGATCGCTGTTTAAAAAACAAGGATTTATTTCTGTTGTGCACTGCGCTCTAAAAAGACCACATGTACCGGAGGCACGAGCACCCAGTGTTATTCTAAATGAAAGGTTTCTTTGCGGAGAGAATTCACTCTTCGGGGTATGATGTTTATCAGTTGAATATTTCCCAGACATAATGTTTGAGAATTACCATGAATTTGGTACGTGTAGTGGCCTTGGCATTAGGTGAGAGGCTGGTTAAAGGAGTCCCATATGGGGGCGATGTTGCGAGCGGACGTCGTACTAGACACTCCGCGCTGAGGCTTTCGATCCCGATCCGAATCTTGAAAAGAAGAGATTTATAGTAAGCGTTTTGAGGCTGGTATTTCATTCTAAATCTTATCATCATGTTCTTCGGACGCTCCCCTGGGAAGCCTGTTAGCACCATATAAACTCTCAATCAGCATCATTTAATCATCAACATAGTCCAAGACTTCAACAACTAAACTTCCCTAAAGTACCTTCCACTGCCTGGCCCCCCGTTTGCAGCACAGCGTCCCTAGTGACCAAGCCGCCATTATTTACATCAACGCTCACGGACTTCACTTTCTCTTCACGGCTTTCTCAACCAACCTTTATCCACCAACTTCACTTATTTTTACCGTGGATCCAGCTTTTTCACCAGGGGTAATTATGACCTCCCCCGTTCTGTCAGCATTAATCTTTTACTTTTTCTACCACCCCACTCAACGAAACCTTTTCAGTGAACAAATTTGCACTTTGTCTTAAAAAATCAAATCTAAATTTTAAATATGCCAATACTTGTGGACAGGGTCTCAAAATTACATTTCCGGACCAAACGTCACTGATAGCAGCCTCAGGATCTCCCATCATTAATGGCCTCAATATTAATTGGCAAATCCCCAGGTGGCAATCTGAAATACAAGGTGTTATATACTAAGAGAACAAGGACACTACACAAGACATACAAGAATATATACAACTAACAAACAGAATCCACACACAACCACAAATCTAAAACTTCAAAGCCATAAACAGAAAACAATCATCACCAGGTAAAATAGTCACCCCAAAAGTATTCATCACATTTACATCTACAACCCAACCAACCCATATCACCCTTAAATTTAAAATACATCCCATCAAAAAATATCCCTGTTAATGCCACCACTCTTTATCATTCGGCCACAAATCTATAAAATGTAAAAATCTCCCCTTATGCCCCAAGTGCGGCTCGACCCGTGAAGATCCAGGGTAGAATGGATCTTCAGCAACCCATGCCTGCTGTAAAAGGCGACTATACTTGTCGTAAGAGGCGACTAACGGGATCGGCTGGTCAGGCTCGCTGACTTGTTTGATGCATGATCCCAATTGCATGGATCAATGCTCATGATATTTATCACTTGATTGCCTGGCCCAGACTCGATTATTTACAGACCGACGTCATATACATGTAGCTGGAATATTGCTGATTACAGCGTTAAACAACAAACCAACCAACTAAGTGCGGCTCAGAAAATCTTGCAATTCATGAGTGCACTTGGACCCCCTACTGTCAACTGTCAAGCCGAAGGCCACGCTTCCAATCAGAACACATGCCCAATAAAACAAAAACACATCCTAAAACTTAACTAAAAACATTGAACAAGCAGACCTATGCAAACCAGCAATCATCCACTCATCACTAGTCACACAAACAACAGTCACAACCGACATTGCACACCATCCATTGTGGGGCACAAAAAATATACTGATAAATCTTGAAGACTTCTGGTAGACTGGATAGACAGCAGCCACCTAATTTCACTAAAAGACAACCAACCCACCCGATACCCACTAAACAATCTTCAAAATAAGAAAGCAGTAGACATATCAGTAAGTACAGGCAATATAAAAAAGTACCACTGCCCCATTAAAATGTCATGACATGTACTTCATTATCCCCCAACCAACCCAAACTGACCGCCCCCCTCCCCCTTCAGACACCCTCAGCAATTAGAATTTAACATTATAAAAGCAAATTGGCAACTACCACAAACCAAACACATGACATAAACACAGATACATTCAATACAAACCTTACTAACAAATTATATGAAATAGCTATCAAATGCATCCCCACTAATAACACAAACCACACTGATAACCCAGTCCTTTGCTGGAGCCCTGAAATTGAAAAAAAAAATAAAATAAAAAAAAGGCTCTCAATAAATCAAAGAGAGACCATATAAAATTACCATTAATTATAAATCTTAGAAACAAAACGAAACAACTTATTAAGGCAGCAAGAAAACGCAATTGGCAAACTTTCTGTAATACCTTAAAAATTGGCAAAAATAATTCTAGAAATCTGTGGAACAAATTCAAACCCATTAAATGTACTTTAAAAAAATGGTTTACCTAAACTTTAAGGACTTATTGATGCCCATTTTTCTAAAACCAGCAGCTCCGCAAACTACCCCCCCTACACACACACAAATCCAAAACAGCACCAAGC